TTCAGCAGCATTACTCCAGTCTTCAGTGTCACATGATCCTTCAGAAATCATTCTACTAACATACTGATATGTTGCTCAAAAATTATTATTATTTATGTTGAAAACAGTTTTAAACAAATATTTTTGTTATATTATTTATGTTGAAAACAGTTTTAAACAAATATTTTTGTTATATTATTTATGTTGAAAACAGTTTTAAACAAATATTTTTGTTATATTATTTATGTTGAAAACAGTTTTAAACAAATATTTTTGTTATATTATTTATGTTGAAAACAGTTTTAAACAAATATTTTTGTTATATTATTTATGTTGAAAACAGTTTTAAAACAAATATTTTTTATGAAAACTGCAATGCAATTTGAAGGATTCTTTGATAAAGACTTTAAAGCATTTATTTGAAATAAATTTGTAACAATGTAAAAGTCTTAACTTTCACTTTCAATCAATGTAATGCATCCTTGCGGGAACAAAAAGTATTAATTTCTTTTAAAAAATGTGCTTTTTTATAACTGCATAATTCGCATACTTAAGTTTGTCATTTCATGACTTTACTATCATTCTAAAATGTGGAAAATACTTCTAATAAAGAATGAGTAGGTGTGTGTAAACATTTAACTTGTGGTGTACATTTATGATTTAGAATTTGTATTCCAACGTGTAGCCGGATGTTTGACATGACTGACATGAATCCGTTATCGGCTGTGTACTGTAAGCTGTCAGGTGTTTGCTGGTAGAAAACCCTTTTAAATACACCAGTGTTTACCAGTGTAGGGCTCTGTTATGTTGATCTGTTAGGTTGTTTTCTCACCTGCTTCCTTTTCATGCAGCATGAAAGAACCCAGGGAACCACTTTTGTGGTCAAATGCACAGGATGTTTTTCTGTCATTTCTTTTCTTAAGTGTACTTTGCACACTGTACATTGCACTTGATAATCATGTCAAGGTTTACTGGTTAAATGTGTGTATTGTTGTGTTGTTTGAGTTTATAACACTCTTGTCAAATAGGACATTCTGCTGTCCTCTAGTGGAAAAGACTAAACCTATCCTTAAAATAAACATCAAACTATGTGCACATTGTGTCTTGATCTTGTATGTCTTGTTTGAGCATTTTTTGTTACTGTAATTAAAAGACATCACTGTGTGTCCAAACTCACCTTCTGTTGTCTCATTCTCAGTACGAGTGAACATCTGGTGTGTGTGTGTGTGTGTTTCTTATGTTGTGATTGTAATGTGACGCTCTGTGTTACAGCAGTCAGCAGAGCAGCCTGCAGAGCAGCCATGAGGAAGAGTCCACACGCTACCTGAGCCCCAACACCCGCGACGACAGGTACACACTCTGGGCTGCTTTGCATGTCATTTTCATTGTCTGTAGGTTTTACATGTTAAAGTATTTGGAATTGAGGCATTTATCTCACTCGTCTAATATTTATGCATTATGCCGCTCTCACCGTAGTTTCCTTATGTGTCCAACAGGGGTCAATGGTTGGTCAGCTCACAATCTGGCTGAACCCAATTCGTATGCTTATAGCTATTAGCTTGTGAACATATTGTGATGTGTGTGGTGTTTGGAATATCGTACTGACAACTAATTAATGAGACTGATTGGGGAACGAGGAGCACCGGGTGTGATCTGTGTATTCAGAGATTGGGGTGAGAAGGTTTAAAAAGAGTGCAAAAGAGAATGGACGCGGGCTGGCTGACGGTCGATTTACAAGCCGAAATAGGACGGCGGTACTCAGATATGTTGGGAGGGGGATGTCGTTCGCGGTCGTTTAGGGCCGCCGGCGATGAAGATAGATAGATAGCGGGGACTGGGTGAGAGTAAGTAGGGACGGGGAGTTAGGAGTGCCGTCGTTCTTTATGGTGTGTGCTATTTAACTGCTGAGCTGTTAGAGCGTGCCAGCGTATGGATCGTGCCCGTTCTGAACAGGCTTCTATTGCTGTCCTCCCTTTCTGTGGCTGAGACTGTCAGGTGCAGAAGTCCTTGTGAGCGTTAAACTTACGACACGCGGCTCGCATTTCCCATTACGGAACGGTGTGCAATAAGCGGTGTTCCCCGGACTGAACCAGCTCCTTAAATCCAACCCCCCACCCCACCCCGGGAGGGGCAGTGTCGCCGTGGGCGAGTTAAGTGGTTTTATATTTTCATTTTAAATTGATGTATTTAATAAAGTCATGTTTCTGGTAAAATTGGAGGGGGACAGTGAGGGTGGGTAAGACTGAAACTGGGAGGGTTTAAGGGGCAGGTATAATTTTGCACGTGCATGAGACACGTTTTACATGAGTTTGAAGTGTCACTGTTTGTAATTGATCTTATGGATTGTCACCAATGAAGTGAGTGAATTTATGTAGCACACTGCCCTAGGGCTTTCTAGGTTGTGTTTAGCCTGTCCTGCAGTCCCCTCTCCTAATAAAATTACCTGTTGTGATTGAAGTTGTGGTGGTGTGTTGTCTTCTGGTGCCAGACCACACTGGCTTAAAGAATTAAAGGTGGTGGCAGCGGCTTAAGTATAGAATTATTACAATATTAATAAGGTGTGAGGCTTTATTAACATGTACACCTACCCCAACCCTAAACCTCCCCACCCCACCCCGGGAGGGGCAGTGTCGCCGTGGGCGAGTTAAGTGGTTTTATATTTTCATTTTAAATTGATGTATTTAATAAAGTCGTGTTTCTGGTAAAACTGGAGGGGGACAGTGAGGGTGGGTAAGACTGAAACTGGGAGGGTTTAGGGGGCAGGTATAATTTTGCACGTGCATGAGACGCGTTTTACATGAGTTTGAAGTGTCACTGTTTGTATTTGATCTTATGGATTGTCACCAATGAAGTGAGTGAATTTATGTAGCACACTGCCCTAGGGCTTTCTAGGTTGTGTTTAGCCTGTCCTGCAGTCCCCTCTCCTAATAAAATTACCTGTTGTGATTGAAGTTGTGGTGGCGTGTTGTCTTCTGGTGCCAGACCACACTGGCTTAAAGAATTAAAGGTGGTGGCAGCGTCTTAAGTATATAAATATTACAATATGTATCGTATGTGATATATCTTATCACAAGTGGTTGTGAGCCATATTAGCATAGATCTGAAATCTCAAAAAAATATGTCATCTGCACACTTTTGATATACTATTTTCAGTGTACTGAAAATGTACTTTGTATGATAACCTAAAAAGTTATTTTGACTTTACTTCTTAAATGCTGCCTTATTGCTCATGATGGACCCTTTTCACATTTCCATGGTTCTCAGAAGTGGAAGATATCATAGTTGGGGGAACTTTTGCGTCATTACAGTCTATGAAAAGGGTCAATTGCAACTGTCAACTGTGACTTTAATTTATACAATGCAACTTTGTACCTCATAATTTTCTCATTATTTTAATGAGAAATTATTTCATAATTATTTTAATTTTCTCTTTGTTTTCTCTCACAATGCGACTATGTCTTACAATTGAATCTCATTATTGTGACTTTATAGTAATGCTGTTTTATTTTGATTTTAAACTTTTTCTCACAACTTCCTTTTTTATTTTTTACTCTGATGTGGAAATATGCTTGTGTATTTTATATGACAAATAGTGCGAATTGGGATTCCATCCTTTGTTACTTTTTCTCTTGCCAGTCTTTGTCATTGTATAATGGCAGACGCTGAAAAGGCTGACATGATATGAACTTCCTGTAGGCTGCTGGTTTTAGTCTCAGTGTGGTTGAGAAGTATCTGTTTTTGGTTGTTCATGTTTTGCTTATGAAGTTGTTCTTCTTTCTGTGTCAAGTTCTGCATCTGTTGTCTGGTTTTGAGTCTGACCACAGATCTCACCGTCTGTATTGTGCCATCTCAAAAACAACTCTTGCATGTTTCACTTTCCCATGGCAGGGCTGCAGAACAGCCCATTGCGTCTTCTGAGACTATATTTTCATCTCAGAAATATCATGAACTGAATAAGGTGCTACACATTTTGAATCAGCTAAGCAAGTTTTGTGGTGAAAGCTTAGATTTTTAGCTGTGCTCAAATGTTCTTGTTGAGCCCAGCTGGCCAGAGAACACGCCGATCCTCAGCTGGAATATCATATGAACATTTTTTTCATCTCCAGGCTTCAGGCGCTTGTTTATTGGTGCTTTTATTGGACCTCTTAGAACACACTGTTTCTTCTGGATTTATGAAACATGTCTTGTGAACATCACTTTTTGTACATTGATTCATTTTGTGTTTGTTGCTATTAAAGTTCATGAGCATTATTTACTATGCGTTTGTCTGAAAAGAGGTCATATGTGTGTGAGTCTGTACACGAGTGTGTGTGCATCTCTACACCTGCTAAAGTCAGTTTGTTAAAGTCAGTATGCACGCAGTTGCCAGCAGCTCATTTTTGTGCACTCAGCAACCTGATTTCAGCTTATTTTTAAATCAGTTTTGTGTTGTGACGTAAAAGCAGCTAATGCTCATTAAAGGTGAGGAATGTTCAGCCTGTTTGTGTCCCATTAGGCTGAATTGATCACAGCGAAGTACCTCAACTCTCATTTACACACATACATATACATTACAGGCTCCCTTTTAGTTCGCCAGTGTGAATTTGAATCGAATTGGCCAGATCTCACAGGATGTTGAATTGGAATTTGAATTTGCAAATGTTTTATGAAAAAACAAAACATGAATTTTGTCCTTAATTTAGACTAATTATACCTGTTTTTTCATGGAATATACATTATTTCGGAACTGAACTATAAAACTGTCAGTGCTGTTAAAACAATTAAAGGGACAGTTTACCAAAAAATGAAAATTATGTTTACTCACCCTAATGTCTATTCAAACCTGTATGACTTTATTATTATTTTTTTTTAAATAAGATCATGAAATAAGATGAAATAAGAGCATGAAATAAGATCATTTGAGAAATGTCTTAGTATTTTTTGTTCACACAGTGGAAGTCAGTGGTAACCAAAACCATTAATTCATTTTTGGGTGAATTAACATCAATAAATACAAAATTTAAGATTACCTGAATTTCAGTTGGTCACATGGTTTTCAGTAGGCCTACCTATAGAAAATAAATGTTGAAAATATGTTTTAAATTATTGTGTTAATATAATTAATGTAATACAATTAATTTAGTAAAAATGTTTAATATTGTAATATAATTTATAAATTAATAATAATTAATGTAATAAAATATATGTGAATTAAACACACATTTCCATAGATAATACATTTAAGATGTTAATTATTTACAGTAATTTCATCAAATGTTTCTGGAAATGCCCCAGTATGTGTATCAGAAATATCAGGGAATTTGTGATTTCCATGCCTGGTCATGAAAAACAGTTCTTAAAGGGTTAGTTCCCCCAAAAATGAAAATTCTGTCATTAATTACTCACCCTTGTGTTGTTCCAAACCCGTAAGACCTTCGTTCATCTTCGGAACACAATCTAAGATATTTTTGATGAAATATGAGGGCTCTCTGACCCTCCCATAGCGAGAAGTCAAATAATTCTACCACAAAAAGCAGAAATGTACGGAAGAGGATTAGGGCCAAGCAATAATAAAAAAATAAAATCATCTCGAGATTAAAATCATTATACATTGCGTTCAAACTCGTTAAATTTCAAGAAAAATGTTGAAATAAAATGTTGAGAATTATATAATTAAATTTCGAGAATAAAGTCTTTGTGTTTCGAGAAAAAAAACTCGTAAAATTTTGAGAAATAAAGTTGAAATAAAATGTTGAGAATAAACTCATTAAATTACGAGAAAAAAGTCTAAATAAAATGCTGAGAATAAACACACTCGTCGCCAGTACGCCAGTGTGTGGCGGCACTGACCCAGATCGGGCATAATGACGTCATCACGCCGGATCTGGGTCGGCGCCGGCGCCGCCACACGCTCGCGTCATGGTACTGTCGTGAACGCACGTCCAAAGTGACGCAGTAGAGATGAAAATGTGGAATAAAGTCGTTATTTTTGTTTTCTTCGCACAAAAAAGTATTTTTTTTTGTTTTGTTTTTTGCTAGTTTATTAGTCAAATTTTTCATCACCTTGAAGTTTTTATGTGCAATCTGTATACAATGTTTTTTTCCCCAGTAATCAGAAAAGAAGAAGAGAAAAAAAAAAAAGTAAAAAATTACAAAAGAAATTCATTAGTCAAAAGGTATGGAAACTACGGAAGAGGATTAGGGCCAAGCTATAATTAAAAAAATTATAATTATAAAACCATCTAGAGATTAAAGTCATTATAATACGAGATTAAACTCGTTAAATTTCAAGAAAAATGTTGAAATAAAATGTTGAGAATTATATAATTAAATTTCGAGAATAAAGTCTTTGTGTTTCGAGAAAAAAAACTCGTAAAATTTTGAGAAATAAAGTTGAAATAAAATGTACAAATCCTACTTGGCATCCTACTTGCCAATTTGATTCAGGTTCAGCCGAATCAACAACCAAAACATACTCGCCTTATCACATCTGTCTCTCTCTGGTTTTGCATTTTGGCCAGTAGTGTGCAATCTCTCGCGTGTCTCTGAGACTCTGATGGTCATATTAGTGTCTCTGCTGGTGGTCTGACTGCTACCACACCTCAGGTGAGGAAACAAGCTGTACTTATCCACAGCACACAAACTGAGAAAACGCAGGATCTAGGTCACCGCAGGACAAGACACGGCCCGCACCGAGAAAAAGAGAGAGAGAGGAGAGGAGGGGGTGATGTGAGTTTAGTAAAGAGGAGTCCTCATCCCGCTAGTGTGTGAACCGTGTGCAGGTCCACATGAGTTTAGAGCATCATGGTTCAGAGCAGGATTTTATCATGCACCTCACCCGTCAAAATGGGCTGTCACCCACGGGTGTCCACGCTGAGGAAAAGACTGCATTTTTGCCGGGATCCGTGAGTACTTTTTGTGTTTTTGCCTCTAAAATGGCTCTTGAATGGTGTTGTGTACAGACTGTAATTGGCAGGCAGAAATTCATGGTCAGTTGATCCAGCCTGAATTACTGTAGCAGATACAGTTTCCTGTGATCTATTGAATTACGCTTCCATCTTTCACAGTAGAGACTTCAAGAGGATTGAAAGTTGAATAAAACTCCTGATTAATCAATGTATTGATACATATGAGTCATGTTTGTGTTATAATAATTTGTTCTTCAGCAAGTCAGCGTCTGCAGTGGAGTAGGTCGTAGAGTAATGCTCGTGGATGTAGCATATGTGATCGACCAGAGTTTGAATCTGCTTTTGCCGAACTCGCTCTTCTTCCTTTTATCATCACATATCACATATCATATTATAATGACTTTAATCTCGAGATGGTTTTATTTTTTTTTATTATTGCTTGGCCCTAATCCTCTTCCATAAAATACTTAGTTTGGGGCCCGTGGAAAATAATTAAAGGTTGTCTCTTGAACTGCACCTTAACTTCCATTTTCCTTTACTTCCTTTTCACCAATATCTC